TTAGTACTAGTTTTGTTTAAAATGTTCTTTAAAAATGTCAGCTTGGAAGCCCATCCGTACCTAGTGCTTTTCCTGCTTGTGGGGTAGGTTTTGTGTGGGGTTTTCATCTCCCTAGTCATAGGCCTGTCTAGCTGATGCTGTCCTCCATGCAACATACTGAAGACAAATGTGGATTCAAACCAACATTGCATAGGATATTTGTTGGTCACTTAAAGGGTAAAACTTCTTGAGCTAGATTGATGATGTTGGCTGCCAGATTGTTAATTGTACTGGTGGCTTTCTTTGTGCCCACCCACAAAGACAGTGCCCAGGGCCATTTTCCAATTGCCCCCCTCAGTGACGCTACTGGCTTTTCCATTAGTTAGCTAAATATTCTTTACAAAAAGCAAGAAACTAAAGTATTTGTATACCTTAATTAATAGCATTTAAATTGCACAGGTAACACTGGGCGCATTTACACAAGATGCTATTGCACAGTCATTACTGCACATTTATTTAGTACTTGTATTAGCGAATAATAAATGAGCAATAACTGGAGTTCCTGCACAGTAGCGCCAGTGAGCATCTTTTAGGTGATGCTACTGCGCAGTAGCCTAATCATACTGCACAGTAGCATATTAGCACTGTCCATGCTGTGACGGGGAACTGCGTAATATTTTTCAGCTACTGCGCAGTCAGAATCTCATGTAGATGCTCTCCCTGGGTAGCAAAGACTGGCTAAACCTCTTTTAGTCTCCTGAAGATGAAGTAGAACCACTTAAGTCTTGTGTGTAAGAGCAGGATATATAAAATATTACCTGATGTATATTCTTTAGAAGGTAGATTTGAGACTGGACTGATGCTCCTTCCCTTTAAGCTCCATTGAGTAGTCTCCATTCATTATAATCACATTAGTATTAAATGTGAGTACTTTAAATATCATGGGCTTCACTTTTCATATGTTCTCAGTTTCAGTTGAAGGAAAGTGCCTTGCGGTTTTTGAAAGGCAGGGAACAGTTTTTGCAAAAGGGATACTGGGTCTTTCTTCCAACCTCTCTCTTCTACCAATCCAAATATGCAGTGGTTATTCTTTTGGGGTGGGTTCTCAAAATTTTCTTGTTTCTCTTCCATTTTTCTCCTGCAGTGACTGAAACTGCTCCAGCATTTAATCTTGCACTTACAGCTGTAGTGTCAGGTTTTTTTTTCATTCCATTTCCCAGATAACCTCGTATAAGTGTTAACCTCAGCAACATCCCTTCAGAGGGTTTTAATATCCCCAAAGAGCAGGCCTAACTTTGGGGACATCGTTTCTGTGAGAACTACAATTTCCTGTGAGAGTTCCTGAGGCAGAGGCACCATTGTTTCTTTTACCATCGGTTTAGATGAAACCTCTTTGATGTGCTTGTTACCTTCCATTTTATCAGTAGGTCCATTTTTGGGTTCAGATTTTCTTTCTGCTGTCAGTTATGTTCTCAGAAACTGTTTAATGAAACGGGCCAGTATACTAATTTATTTTCCTTGGTGTGAAGGACACAAGATTGCTATCTGTACTCATTTACTGCACTAATTATCCTTATTTTTCTCTCTCCCCTGTCCCACATAAACTTTAAAACAGATGTCAGATTTTATGCAGCTACCTGTGACATTTGCATAAATTATTTACCTGGCTCATTTGGATATCTACAGCTAATTTCCATATAGCCATAAAGTCTGTCTATATAAAAAAATCATTCTGCAGATTTAGTGTGTACAACCTTAATGAATAGAGCGCTTGGTTTATATGCAGGGCAACAGCAGACCAAGCTTCCCACGCACCTTGCCAGCACGACTCGGCCCCAGTTTGCAGAATTTGCTCTAACAAGTTCTTTAGCCAGCGCTAATAGCCAATTATGGCAAAGCATACTGGTGAGTTTGTGCTGTGGGAGTTGCAGATCCACCAAACTTCTCTCTCACAGGGGCACCAGCCATCCATTAGATGGGAATAATTTCTAATCCCCGCTGACTAAGGCTGGATTCATACAGGCAATAGGCTCTGAGGCTCCTTACCAAGGTCTTGAGGTATTTAGTTTCCTCAGACAATTGTTTCACCTTCAGGATTAAAGTTTATTTTGTGGCAAGACACATTTGTTCAATCAAGTTTGGACCTTTCTTTGTAAGTAGTTTCTCCTGCATTGTGCTTGCATGCAAGCAAGATAACTGCTGTCAGGGAGAAATCCCAACTCTCTCTGAGTCCATGAAGTTAAAACAACCTCTAATTTCTATGAGACCAGGATTTTGCCTTCAGTTTTCTTTATATAAACTCTGTAGTCCTCTTGATTCTTAGAGGAAAAATTCCCATTAATGAAAATATTTCCCTTAAAAAAAAGGCAATGAAACAAATTACACAATATCCAAATTTCCCTCTAACTGTAACACTGAAATGCAAAATCATCTTGACAACTATGTCAGAGTCCTAATGCTAATTTTACATATAGAGTTACCAACTTCATTTGAATCTATTCCGGGAGATTTCAGCACGTGACGTAAATGACTGATCTACTGTACTGAGTAGACAACACATCAGGAAGGCAAATGCATATTACTAGTACTTTTATACAGTAGTCCAGTGGGTTTTTTAAATGGATTTAACATTTAATATTTATTTTTGTGAATGCCCTATCATTTATCTCCTGGGTGACTCTCAGCAGTCTCCTGGAGATTTGTATCCAATTCCTGGAGACTCCAGGGCAATCCTGGAGGGTTGGCAACCCTGTATATCCTTCCTTGAGTTGGTTTGAAGCCCAGCCCTTTAGAAATATAAAGATCTCTCTACCAGCCAAGGAGTAACAGAAAAGGAAGCAACAGGGAGACAGTGACAAGAAAAGCACCAGATTACAGAACTCTGAGATTCTCTTTCTGGCTCTGGGAGTAGATTATGGACTAACGATTACAAACGGCCCAGTCAAGTGCCAGAATACTCTTGTTCGAGTTAGCTGTACAGACTGAATTTGTAATTTCTGCCTGTGAGCTTTCACCATCTGACCTAAAGGATAACTGGGACTGTAGCAGTCTCAAACCTCTTCCTGTGTCACCTGGCCACTGGAGGAGGACTGTGGTAATGTGTGGCCACATAATTCAGGCCATTTCCTCTGAATAGCAATGAAGTAAACTTAATGAGACTTAAGTCCTAGTAGAGAGCTGATTTCTGTTCCTAGCTCTGCCTGCAGTGGCGTTTTCCAACCTTTCATTTTCATTAGTTGTCAAGTTAGTAAAAGTTAGTTGCTTCTCATAAGAAAGGTCTGTGAAGCCTTTGTTAATACATGTTGTAAGTGTACAGAAGTATAAAGATCAGCTGGAATGGGGGTGTCAAACACAACTACACTCTGGACATCAAGGAGCTTCCTAGGCTGGATCTGGACCTGGTGGTGAGCAGCATCAGCAGGATTAACACAGCCATAACTTGTCCCAAATTTGCAGCCTCTGTGAGATCTGAGGGCTGGGTAAAATAGCTCAGTCCATGGGCCATATATTTAACACCCCTGAGCTATGACAAGATTAGAGTCCCTAGACCCATGGGTACAGGTGTGTATTGCCCATGTGTGTATAGGAGGTAGGTGAACACTCTCTTTCTCCCTCTTTCCATAATTCACTCCAAATTCAGAGGCTGAACTTTTCTTCCCAAAGTCACCTCAGAGCTGATCTAATTTAGGCTGACAGAAAAAAGCCATCAAGGGTTTGCTCAGCTAGACAGATCTGCTGGAGTATCATACTTAAACTATGCTTGTGGCTTAACTTTAACCATTAGCTTGCCCTGCAATGTCCCTCTATTGGTGCTGTAAATTCAGAAAAGACCAACTTAGGGCTCGCTATAGCAGGCCACGAGTTTGCCAACTGCTGCTTTAAGTTCCGTAGTCTGCTGCTGGAGTGGCTGAAGATCCAACCTGTGATTCAGAAAGCACTATCACAAATTAAAAAGGAGAATTAGTAGCACACTTAGCTTTATTGAAATTGAACAAATACCTTTTTTTTTAGTAAACCCTTTTACAGCAAGTGTAAAATTTTAATGTTTGTTGTTGTTTTGTTTTATCTTACAGGTTGTCTCTTCAGTGTAAGCAAAAATACCTTTTTTTAACTTTAAAACATTTAGCAAGGATTTGAATCATGTAGCTCTGGCAGCAAAAGGTAACAGGTTATGAAAATCACAGTACAGTTTTAAAATTCTTAGGTTAGTTGATGATATTTAAAATGATAGCCACTTTGGGTAAAGATATAAAGTCGAGGTCTGTAAACATGTTGTGTTTACCTATAGAGCTATCAATTGCAGCTAAAATGAGAGCGTTAATAGAAAGTCAATGCTAAACTGAGCTACACCATATAGGAAATGAAATCTTAATAAGTAGAGTGGTACAGGGTAGCACAATAGGAAAAATACAGTTTGGCACCTCAAGTTGCATGTAAAACATCAGAAATCAAATGAAATAAGTGCACTCTCTTTGAACAAAAAATGGGTAGTTTCACTGGTTTCTATGAGTGTTAGCTATCAAATAAATCACACAATACACAAGTTCAAACCCTAAATTACATTTCTAGTAAAGCAAGATAATATTAAAATACACACCCACAGGATAATCAAGTATAAATTTTGTTTTCCCCTGTTAGTAGAAATAATTTACAACCCACAAAAGGACTTCTTGGTGAACCACTAACTACAGACACATCAATGGAATGTAGCTCAGTAGACTTGTTTGAAATAGAAAGGCAGCATTATCCTGAAAAAGTTTGGTCCTCTTACATCTCACTGCACTGTAGCCACTACAGTCCCATGGTTGGTGTTTTAGGTTGGTCGGTTGGTTGATATTTTATTAACATACTAACTTAGTGACAAAGTTGGGTAAAATTTAGCCTTCTTTAAGAATGTCTGATCAATGCAGAATGGAAGAACAATACCGAGAGTACATAAGGAGATCCTTATTACATTGTCTTACAACATCTTTTTTTGTTCAGTCAATCACATTTTTTATGATATTACTTTTTCCCCCCACTCCTCTTCTCTTCAGCATCATGGTAGGGAAAGGGGAGGGGCAACGTCTCAGTCCAAATGACAGAAAGACATTTCACATTTATTTACAAAACAAAACACTTTGGCTAAAATGTCCCAGCAGCTCAAAGTTGCCTATTTCTTGTGAATGTCCTCATGCCGAATGATTTTGTATGTTATCCAGTAAAATATGTTGAAAATGAGGAAGGCTAGTGGGAATGCAGCCCGCGATATTGTATCAATCCGTTTTGCACGGTCAACAAATTTCTTTTTGATGGAATCCGAATCTTTTGGTGGTGCTGGAGGAGGGTTGGGAGGTGTAGCCTTGACTGCAGTGCCATCTTTAACTTGTAAACAGTGACCCATTCCATAGCCACCAAAATTGAATCGACTGTCACGAGTAACATCATCTTCCTGGAGAATATAGGAAAGAAAAGAAAGAGAAAAACCAATTAAGTAGATGGAATGTAATAAGTTAGTAGCATGGCCAGGTACAGCGGATCTCCTTAACAAACCAGCTGATGAGTTTTTGGTTCTATATTGGGCCCAGATCAAAATCAATAGGAGTTAGGTGCTTTAATATCTTGAGGAGGTAAGCCTGAATTAATTTAACACCACCTTGCAAAATTCTACTCATTCGCCACCCCCTAAGGTGGATAATATTTTCTGAGCAGTGCGTAAATATCAAGGGCTTTATCAAGGTAACTGGGTGGAAAAGAGTTTGTCTCTGTACTGGTATATTTCTGTAGCTATTTTACCGGGCTGATAGGACAATGTGTGAGCTATAAGTACTGGCAGTGCTCTGTGAACGATGAAAAAAAATATTCAATAAGTGACTCTATTCTCCTTTATTCTCCTTGGGATGAAATGTTCGTAAACTTAATTTGGCTCTTCTCTCTGAGGCCAGAACCAGTCATAAGTTGGAAGAGCACTGTGAACCCCTAACCTCCTCTGTTGTTTGTTTCACTGTTGACTTTTTTGTTGACTGACAGACATTACAGCATTGACTTGAAATGAATTCTGCTTAGGCTTGCAAGCTTAAAGTTCTCTCTCATGTTTTGAACTAACCTCCAGCTTTCTGATAGCAACACAGAGCCAGAGACTACAAAAACCAATGGGCTTGAGCCTCAGCTGGTGTGAAGTTGCTTAACTCTGCCACAGTGTAAGAAGCAGAGCCAACTTACACCTGCTGAGGATTTGACTCAGTCAGTCTAAATAATTGTTCCCTTAAAAAAACACCTTCTCAAAATTGCATTTATTTTTCTATCTTTCAGCTCATATCTGCACCATGTGTATCATCAAGCTTTTTTCCCTTACCTTACAGCTGATATATATTATGTTGTGCTTAAATAATAATGCCTCACAAGCCCATAGTAAAAGAAATGGTTCCTGAGAGGTAATATCAAGTGAGCATAAAAGAAGTGCAGGCAATAACTAATGCCCTTTGAGACCCTGGTGTTCTACAGTGAAAACTATCATATGCTGTATCCATTATCAGGTGTATAACTGTACTAACACAAAGCTTGATAGCACAGTTACAGGGCTCTTACACTTTTTCATCTTAAATCCTCACCATTGTTAACAAAGTGAAACCTTTCCCTCTCTTTTTATGATTTTATTTATTTACGGTTTTCAGTCCTCCTGGGAAAGCTATAAAAGTAACAATTCTGCTCCTCTCCAGATATTATGAATAAGTAAAGGGCTTAAAGTTGAACCTGCCAAAACCTGAGTATGGCACAGAATGTTTCTCTTTCATGACTTAATGACATTACTAATCCCTGCAACAATGCACAGAGCTGCTTTGCCTGTAGCAGTTTTTATGTCTCCCCCCTTGGCAGAAAAAATACCAAACAAGACACAGAGGATTGATTAAAAGGCAACACATTTTCAACAGCTGCATTATCAATATTTGGAAGTGTGTGTGTGTGTGTGTGTGTGTGTGTGAGAGAGAGAGAGAGAGAGAGAGAGCGCATTTATAATGTACTATATTACTTGTGAGAAGGTATAGGGTGCAAACAACCATTCACATTAACTGACTCAGGTTTAGGCCTCTTTCTTTGAGCTGCCTAAATCTGAGTTGGATTCTGCCACATGAAGGAGTTCATGCAGGCAGCTGGAGGTAAGTCAGTAAGATGGGGAAGCTGATGACACTGGGGGAGGGGACTGGCAGGATGGGGTGCAGGTTGATAGGTCCATGGAGTGGGGAGGGGACAGGATGAAGTAGGTGGTTGGGTCTGTGGAGGGGGGCTCCCTGGTTTAGGGGTGTGCTGGTTGGGCAATAGAAGGAGTCTAGTTAGGGTTGGGGGTTCTGGAGAGTGGCAGCCCTTTTCTAGCCCTGAGGATGCATTGGAGACTTGTGCAGGTATTAGTTAGGCTGTGTTAACCCATTTTAAACTGTGTTAACTCATGCCAGTTTAAAGATAGTTCTAATCAGATGAGATCCGGCACTCCACTTAATCCCTGGGAATGCTTGCATGGTTGGCCATTTCAATAACCCTAAGCTCAATTAGGGCAATCTAAATGTAATGTTTGTATGTACATATGGTCTACTGGGCTGATTACAGGATAGGGAGACTCCAGATTTCTAGCAGTTTACACCACTGCTTTTTCATGTTATTGAGCAAAGCAGTTCAGTTCCAAGCCTGCTTTTTGATCTCACTGTGACGATTCAGGACTAGGTTCATAGAAAGGCCTACATGTACAATGCTGATAATTGAGATGTCTAACTTTAATGGCCCCAGCCATATGGAGGCATCAAAAGTGCTGATTTTAGGCATCTTGATACCTTCTACAAACCATGAGGAGAGTGAAGTGAGCAGCAATAGGATTAGTAAAACCCTGCAGGTAAAGCCAGGATCCATCCAAGATAGTCAAAGATAGTTCTAGTCAATTGATAACTCCAAAGAGATGGCTGTGTCTTAAATCCCACCTTCCTATGGGCTGCATGGACTTCCAGCCCATTTTCACAATCTTAGACCCTCTCTCAGAGTTAGGTACCTCTACTAGCTGTGTCTCTCAAAATGCAGTTAGGGGAGACACTGTCTCCTACCCAGCTTCATGTATAATAGTTCAGTGGCTAGACCATTCATCCAAGATGTAGGGGACCTGGTTTCAATTCTCTCCTGTACCTGAAAAGATGTAAACATCTAACTTTCACCTCCCAAACTGAGTGGCCTAACCAGCAGTAAGGTAGCTGGGGTCCCTCATATCTCAGAGCTGTTTGATTGGGCATGCCATAACCAAAAATTCTTCAGGCCAGACAGAGAGAGACTCTGTGAGCATGACTATATAATTTAGTGATTAGAGCACCTGCAAGTGAGCAGGGATATTTGGCTGTCAGCCCCTGCTCAAGTGAATGCTTATAGTATGGCTAAAATGTGTGTATAGGGGGAGAGGTTGGGAGCCCCTCCACCTGTGTTTTGGGGCCTGATTCCAAAAGTGTACTGTGAGATCTCCTACAGAATTGGGCCCTGTAGGGGCCGAGAAACACCTTGTGTGTGGAAGCCAGCAGGGCTTAGGAATAGGCTCAATTCTCCTAGGTCCTTTAAAGCAAAGGGTTTTTTTACTGGTAACTTTTCTAAAATATCAGTGAAATGCACATTTTTGTTTATTTCAGCCAGCAGCAACATGTTCCTGTGACATACTGAGTTTTATTCCCCATTGTTTAGTAGATTATTCATCTCCAATAGCACAAGGAAGTGAGGAGGGGTTATTTGTATTTAATTAATTATTTCTGTTGATGATAAAGCAAAGAATGTTGCTTCTGGCTGCTATATGCTCTGAGTTAAATATAATCAATTATTATAAAATAGTAACAACTGAGAATCAGCACCAAATATGAAAAAAATCAATCCCTTCAGTGGGGAACACAGTAAAAATTGCTCTCCTTTCTATTCGCCCACTCTCATATCTTACCACACATAGTTGAGCCCTCCCCAAATGTCTTTTTCACAATGATGTGCCCTGAACATCAACAGACTCCAGCTATTTCAGAACAACAGAGTGAGTGAATTCCAAATAAAAGGTACCTTCACAGAGAAAGCGCCTTCTCTTTTTCATTATAGAGAGACTTATAGCTCAAGCCTGTTAATGCTAGTTTGGTATTTATGCATACTCACATCAGAAGTGTGTTTTTAAATGGGTTTAATTAAGCTAGTGCAACAATTTTCAGATGCTCTTGTATTGACTTTGTTGTGTCTTTACGTACATTTTCAGCGGTTTCATTAAATCTATTTACCCTCAAACTCGAGCAAATTTGTGTGTGGAGAAAGCCTCAAGTACTCATGCACCCAAAGAAGAGAGAATCGAGGAAGGGAAAGGAGATAACTCCAGGACTATGGTCCTGGTGAAAGACCTGCAACTTCTGCACATGGATGCGTGGCTCAAGCATTGGACTTTTAAGTCACCTCAGGACCCATCAGTGAGCTGAGGTGGTGATCATCATCAAATTGAGGGACTGCTCATGACTCGTCCTAAACTGTTTATAGTTTTATAGATTTTAAACAAACAACAAGCAACAGTAACAAACAACCTTCAGCTCCAACTAGGAGCCAGTAAACTAGAAGCCATTGCAGAAAATGGAGATTTAGTGTCATGTAACAAGCAAAGTAGCTTTAACTTTGGAAAAGCAAAAAGATTATCTTAGTATAGTGCAGTGCCCTAGGCCAATCTACATGTGCTAAATCATAATAAGGACTTCAAATATCATCTAGTCCAATCCCCTACACAGATGCATACTCCCAGAAAGATGCCTACTCAGCTACTTCTTGAAAACCTTTAGTGAAACAAACTCCATAATTTTCTCTTGCTCACTTGCCCTAATGTTCTTACAGATTTTCTCAGAACTTTTTCTAAGATTTGATCAACCCCTGCTTTGCTGCAGTTTAAATCCATTGCCACATGTCCTGTCTTCTGGCATGATAAAACCATGTTTCCATGTTTTTTTGCAGCAGTTTTTCAGATATTTGAAAATTGTGGCAAGCTCCCCACAACACTCAATAAGCTCCTTTTCTCTAAACCAAACCTATATTATTTCAGTTGTTTCTGGCTTTTCCAATCCCTTTATTGTTCTTACTCAATTCTCTCTTCTTCAAATGCAGTGCCCCAAAATGGGCACTGCTCTTGTCACCAATGACATCATCAAATTAGACTCCTAGTTTCCTCATGGGAGGAACTAAAAATGGGCACACACCATCAACCACTGGTTAATATGAACAGCAGCCAAGAAGCATTCAAAATCAGATAATGCAAGTGAACTGTACCAATCTCCCAGAAATACAGTCTTTGTAATCTACATCAATTTTATAAATAAGCCTTCCTTTGCTTTCCTTTCCTTTTTCATGTCCTTGTGTGACAAGGTATTTAGTAGAATTTGCAGGTTCATTGGAATCTGTCAGGGCTTATGTTTGTGTAGG